ATACATATACATATGTATAAATATATATATATATATATATATGTGTGTGTGTGTGTGTGTGTGTGTGTGTGTGTGTGTGTGTGTGTGTGTGTGTGTATGTATATGTATATATATATTTATATATATATATATATATATATATATATATATATATATATATATATATATATATATATATATATATATATATATATATATATATATATATAGATATAGGTATAGATATAGATATAGATAGATATATATATAATTCGATTTGATGCCTAAACTTCTTTAATATATTTGAAGAATTATTCGGAATATCGTTAATACTGACGCATTCGAGTTCAATTGTCGAATAAAACTTAGTAAACTGCCACACACTGCATATTACTGTTATCTTGTGTCTTCATGTTCGAGTATTTATTCGCATCTCCGAGCCATAAGCACTGCCTCGATGTACGTGCACACTTACATATAATATTATAAAAACTATGAGCTATCCAAAAGCGTGAAAAAGTGCAAATATAACTATTCGTACCTTCACATTCTCCTTCAGTTTGACTATTTCCTCTCGTAGTTTGCCCAATTCCTTCTCAGATTTGTCTTGTAATTTGTGTGCCTTATTCAAATCGGCCATGTGACGTGCTGTTTCTTCCTTTGCCGCTTTTAGCTCTTTTCGAACGCCAAGAACGGATTCCTTCTTGACCATATTCTCTGTATCGGTGGCCGCCGCTGTTAATTGGCGAATGTGGGCCTATTCAATAGAAGGAGCCGAAAAGTAGAACTTTGCTCATTAATTCAACTAAGGCATACCTCTGAGCACACGGTTTCCCATATGCCAACCGTAGGATATGGATGAGGAAATATAACCGCAGCGCACATTAAGTTGTGACTTCTACTGGTGCAACACAAGGCCAGGAGTTCCCTCAAACTCGAAGATACATAATATTTTAGTATTACTGATACCACTCTCAAAAAGATATTTTCATACCTCCTTAGCGCGCATGGCGTCGTCCTTCTGCTTGATTGTGTCCTCCAACTGATTGCACCTCGTTTGCAGCTCACTGCTGGCATTTCCGGTATTCGCATCCAGACCGGTCATCTATGTTTGGGACGCACGACAGGAGTGGGCATTCACGACACGCACAGAATTGACAAGCATCATGCGATTACGAACACAAAAGGCGGCTTATGCGATATATTGCAGAGAACTTTGGGGTATTGTGAACTTGTGCACAGATGGTGTGCATTAAGCTGTAGTAGAATCGGGACGAATGTTGCTACAACACACACGTATACACCCTCTACTATATATGTATATGTATATATATATATATATATATATATATATATATATTGTGTGTGTGTGTGTGTGTGCGTGTGTGTGCACGTGTATACTTTATGAATTTCCGTTGCTAAGCACTTGGCATTCAGTCCCCAATGATTAAGTCACTTTTGTACACTTACCTTCTCCTCGTATTCTTTGATCACAGCCAGCAGTGCCGTATTGCTCCGCTTCTGCGCTTCGATCTCCTTTTTGTGTAGCTTGACCTGATCCACCAGCAGTGGATTGGCCTTCATGGCCTTTTCTAGCTTGGTGGCTTGAGTCTTGATCGTAGCGGCCTAAGTGTGTAATTTAGAGGGATTTTTTTTTAACTCAACCTTCCACAGAAAAATCAAGCTATTCAATTGTTGCAGAGCCGAACGTAAACGTCGCCGCCATGATGGACACCCAATAAAATCGTACAAAGCA